ATTTTCTTTTCTGTCATGTTTTCAGCTACAGTTGAGTGAAGTCAAGGAATGAAACAGCAGGTCAACTATACCTGGGAATAATTAAAGGTCTCCTGGCTTACACAACGAGGAAGGATCAAAGATGGCATACTAAAACCTGGTAGTTCTTCATATTGTCTCCTTTCTCCCTCCTTCCTTCCCTCCTTCTTTTCCCCTCTCTCTTTCTTCCTCCTTCTTACCTTCCCTCTTCTTTTCTTCCTTCTCTTTCCCTTCTTTCTTCCCTCCTTCTCATCCTCCCTTCCTTTTTTTCTCTGCCCTTCTCTCCCTCCCTCCTTCCCTTTCTTCCTCCCTCTCAACAGCAATTGGTGAACCATTCATGCTTTCTACGAGCACTGTGCCCTATCACTGGCTAGGACCTAGTCCAAGTACTGCCATTCAGTCCACTCAATACACAGACAGAAAGGCTTCGTTCTTAATTTCTAGTCATTTTAGTCACAGGATTACTGAGCAAGGATTTCATAACACCTGCCATTTTCCCTGTCAGGAGCATTCCTATTTCAACAAGTATTTCTTCATAAATACTCACAAGTTCCCATTTCCCCTAGGGGAGACCAGGACACAACAGATTCAAATAAAAGTAAAGCTCTTTCATTGCCATTAGAAAATGAGACAGTGGCAGAAACCACACAGATCACAATCAGCTCCAACCACAACCATAGGAAAAAGGATCCAAGTTCAATTCACAATTGAACTGAAATCACTCTGCAGTGGGAAAGATACACTAAAGGACCTTTCTACTCATCTGACCCCTATCCTCCATACTATATTGACTAAAAGCTGCCTGGTAGAAGAGTCAGAAAGTTGTGCTGTACTTCCACAGGGAAATTCGTGCTTGAACCTTGGTACCCAATGATGGTACAATGGAGTATGTGGGGGTGGGGGGTTCTAGGAGAAAACTTAACTCACCTGTAAGATGAGTGGTAAGAGTGAGACGCTTCATTTACTCCTGGATCGTAAAGAAACCTCGGCTTTCAAAATGCCAACAAGGAGCTGGACACTGGTGACTTACACCTATCATCCTACCTATTCAGGGGCTGAGAGCCAGTGGATCACCATTTGAAGTCAGGTTGGGAAGAAACACCTGAAAGACTTCATTTCCAAACTAACCAGCACCAGACAGGATTGGAGGTATGGCTCAAGTGGTAAAGCACCAGCCAAGCAAGCAAGGAAGCCAAGGGAACATGACATCCTGAACCAGCAAAAACAAAAAAACAAAACAGAAAAGCCAAGAGGTAAGAGGGCAATAATTAATATTCCTTGCTCAAAAGCAGAAGGCAGGTTGCTGGGAAACTCAGAGATCCTGTGGACCTTGCTCTGAGGACTATCACTATTTAGGGGCAGATATATAAATATCTATATCTATATCTATATATATATATACATGTAAACATTTACATGTTTGTTGTTATTATTTCAGAATAGTTGGAGAAAGCGTTAAAAAGCCCTGCAAACACAGAGACTGCACATGGTAGAATTCCCCCCTAGTGCTCTGTAGAGTCTGACAGCTCGGTTACTTCCCATATCCTCCATTCCTCAACTCTTACACCCACCCAGAACCAGAGCAGTCACATAGGCTGAACAGGACAGAAAGGCCCATAGGCAGCAGTCCTCAGTTAGTGCTCAAGCCCTTTGGGTATTTGCCACGTGTTTTCCTTCATTAAGAACTCAGAAGAAGCTGAATGCCAGTGGCTCAGGCCTGTAATCCTAGCTACTCAGGAGGCTGATATCTGAAGATGGATGCTCAAAGCCAGCTCAGGCAGAAAAATTTGCAAGACTCTTCCAGATTTTTGCTGAAGCTGTGGTTCAAATGGTAGAGTGCCAGCATGGAGCAGAAAAAGCCAAGAGAGAGCACCCAGGCCCTCCCTAAGTTCAAGTCCCAGGACCTCAGAAAAGACTGCAATGACAAAACCTGTCTAACTGCTCCATTCATCATTTTCTACACTAATTCAATTATAGAAATCTTCCTCTAGAATCCATTAGCATCTCCTGAGTTCTTAGAAACACTATTTGGGAAAATACTGATTAAGTTCAAACCTCCCTCTCCCCATCTCTATTCCTCTTGGTATCTGTATATTTGTCTGTCTGTCTGTCTGTCTCTATCTATGCAAGGATTTAGATGACAAGGGTACACAGTAGTGTAGAGTGAATGAAAATTCTGGGTAAACTAGTGAGTAGAGGTAATAGACAGAGTGCATGAACCCTTAGGCCTCACTAATCACAATGGAAGCCTTGGCAACAATGAGCCAAGCACTCTGTGGCCCACTCTCCTCCCACACACAGCGAAGTGTACATGAAAGACTGAGGACAGGACATCTAGAAATGCACCTCTGGCCCAGATGTCCAAAGGGCAGGCAGAGGAAGACTGGGACTCTAGAGTTAACATGGGCTCATATCACCTTAGAATTTGAAAAGTACCAAGGACTAAGAACAACCAACAATCTGGGTCATCTAGTTGTGTCTCATCCTCTGTCAAACACAGCAGCTGGGACAGGGGTAGTGGTACGCAAGGGGCAGAAGTAGAGGAATCACGGTCTAAGGCCCAGGCAAAAGTGAGAGACCTTATCTGAAAAACAAACTAAAACAAAAAGGGTGGAATGTGTGGCTTCACTTGGAGTGAGCTTACCTAGAGAGTGTGAAGCCTGAGTTCACTGGTTTATGTAGCACAGATAAATGTATGCTTCACCTCCACACTCTTGGGGCAGGTATGTTATTAATACAGCATTGTTCAGATTTTGAGAAAGACAAGGACGTGTATATACCGTATGTTGTGTAACTCATTCCCAAAGACCTGATGTTTCTGCCCCACAGTAAGATTTCTGCAGTGCAACATGCATATTCATAGTAACCATACAATCTATAAATAGTTTCAAGTCAGTTCAGGTCAGATTTTGCTGCCAAAATGAGGCCTAGACCACAAAGCACTGTTGTGTATCCTAGCTCTTTGGATCTTAAGATTGGAGGTGAAAAAGAGGGTCTTTGCTTTGCCTCTCATGAGAGGGAGATTTTCTACTAGGAGAAACAGCGCAGTGAGGGAGGCCGTGAAATAAATCCAAAGTCTTCTCATAAGGACGAGAAAGCTTTCATTTCCAGTGCATCCCGCCCAGTGTTCTTACATGTAAATAACGTTCTAGGGTTTGAGTTAGGATCAATGCACCTTGGATCTGGAGTTAATCTGTTTTGATTTGATTTGGAATCCTCCAGAGTGGGAACTGATATTTGCCCCTGGACAATACATAACAACTTCAGTTTATGTTCGCCAAAGAGTAACCAAAAAAGGGGAGGTAGGCTTTCCTAAGGCAAAAGGTTGAAGAACAGAGGTCCAGTGAATCATTTGCCAATAAATTTCCAGGGTCACCAAAACACAGCATTCTGGGTAAATTTGAGTTCAGTCACATGGTTTTGAATGAGCCCCATGACAATGATACCATGGCTCTTTTCTGCCTTTGTGTGGATTTCTGTAAACATAGTCTGTTTGAGCTGTGATTTTCTGGATTGAGGTTCTAACCTAGAAAGAAATATTAAATGCAGACAGATTCTTTTCCTAATTTTCAAGGGACAAGAAAGTTTCTACTGAAATTCCCACAACATAATCTTTTTTTTTTTTGCCTTAATGAATGAAGCCTACTATTACACAACACAGAGCATTTTGCCCCAGTGCAGATCAAACAGTGACAGGTAGCCCCAATTCAATTCACTTGATCAAGTGTAGCAGACTTGACTATAATACTTAAGGGCTGGGATTAGGAATGTGGCTTAGTGGTAGAGTGCTTACCTAGCATGCATGAAGCACTGTGTTCAGCTCCTCAGTTCCATATAAATAGAAAAAAACGGAAGTGACACTGTGGCTCAAGTGGTAGAGTGCTAACCTTGAGCAAAACAAGCTCAGAGACAGTGCCCAGGCCCAGAGTTCAAGTCCCAGGACTGACAAAAACAAACAGACAAACAAACAAAACCTTAAGGGCTTTAGTGGCTCATGCCTATAATCCTTGCTATTCAGGAGACTGAGATTTGAGGATCAAAGTTCAAAATCAGCCCAGGCAGGCTCATGAGAATATTACCTCTGGGACTAGGAATATGGCTTAGTGGTAGAGTGCTTGCCTAGCATGCAAGAAGCCCCGGGTTTGATTCCTCAATACCACATAAACCGAAAAAGCTGGAAGTGGCACTGAGGCTCAAGTGGTAGAGTGCTAGCCTTGAGCCCAAAGAGGCTCAGGGATAGCACCTAGGCCCCGAGTTCAAGCCCCAGGACTGGCAAAAAGAAAAAAAGAGAATCTCATCTCCAGTTAGCTACCAAAATCCCAATGCAGATCTGTGGTTCAAGAGGTTAAGTGCCAGCCTTGAGTAAAAAAGCTAAATGAGAGTGCCCTGGCCCTGAGTTCAGTACTTCTCACCAATGTCCTAACAGGTTGAAATACCAAGATTATAACTTCCCTGCATCAAGCCATTGACATGAAGCTCTGAGACAGTATTTGGTTTATGCCTTTGCTTCAGACAATACTGCACCTACTTATCAGACTCGTCAGTTTCACAAATGTTTTCAAAGATTTGTAGACTTAAGAACTCACTAGTCCCTAAACCATCCCTCCCCAGATTTAAAGCCTCTTAGTGTCAGCTTGTGGCAATTCAAATCAGACTTCTCAGATAATAAGCCAAATATGTTGTCACTAGAGACCTAATCTCACCAGACCATCGAGCTTATTCATCTGAGAAGGAGAATTTCCTAACTCTCATATCTAGCTGGGGATTAAGGCCAATGAATTCCACTCCACTAAACTTTAATTTTTGTTATTATATTTTGTTAGCAGTACTGGGGCTTGAACTCAGAGCCTCATGTGCTCCCTTGGCTTTTTCTACTCAAGGCTGGTGTTCTACCACTTAAGCCACACCTCCACTTCCCTAATCTTTAATTCTACCAAGGTACTCACAATGGTTGTATTTCTCTCCAGGTCCTCAGCAATGAACCCTTGAAGCAGCTCCAGTTGGCCACAGAAAGTGATGTCAATGGTGAAAGTAATTTGCACATAGCTCCCAGCTGAAGCCTACTATCTGAGCAACCCAAGGCGTAAGAAAAGTGTGTCAGTCAGCTTTTCATCCTTGAGACAAACACTCAAGATAATCATCTTGTAAAGAATTTGGCTCACCATTTTGGAGACTTCAGTTGGTTGACTCCATTGCTTTTCAACCTGTGGAGAAGCATCACGCCATGGTGTGATGTGTGGAACTTGCTTATCCCACTGTCAAGATGCAGGAGAGAGAGAGAAACCTGGAGTTCCAACATACTCAGCAAGGTCACACCCCCAAGGACTTAATTTCCTTCCACTAGGCCCCATCTTTTAAAAGGTCCCATTACCACCTTAGCACCACCCTGGAGAGCAAGATTTTAACATATGGACCACTGGGAACATTCAACATCCAAACAATAGCACAGAAAAGCAGAAAGCAGCCCTGAAGCTCTCTCACCAAGGGGAAGAAAAATCAAAGCTGACCAGATAAGTGGCCAGGGACCAATGGTTTATATCTAGCCCTCTGAGTAACTAGCAATACTCTTGCTATCAGGGGACTGTGATCCAATGATATAGTCCAAAGACATAAAGAGTATGAGTCAACTCACGTGCCTGTGCTTTTTATGCTTGCAACCCTAGCTTCTCAGGAGGCTGAAATTCAGAGAAGAGTAGATCAGAAATGTCCATGAGATTCCATCTCCAAACTAACATCAAAAGCCAGACTAGGAAACCAGTCAAGCAAGGGTAAGGCCATACATTCGAACACTGGTACTGCCAAAACTAACTAAATAAATAAAAATTTAAAACCATAATAAAGAGTATGAGTTGTATGGCAGTGGAGGGAGAAGCCCTGAAGTGCGGCAGTTCCCCCAGCACCATCTGCAGCTACCCACATAAAACGTTTGCATCAGGATGCATTTTCTCCACTCTACCATCAGCGCCCCTCCCCCTCCAGCTCAAACACTTCTGCTTGGGAACATTTGTGTGAAGATTCTTAGGTCAGAATATGACATTGAGATAATCAAGAACGGGTCTTCAATTCAAAGACAAATCAAAAAGACGGAACAGCAGTCCTGCCCCCAAGGGTCATAGCCACAGCTGCACAAACTGTGCCTGACACCCAAGGCCAAGGCCATTAAGAAGTTCATCATTCAAAACACAGCCGAGGCCACAGCCGTGAGGGATGATTCAGAGTTGGTATCTCCAAGAGCTGTGCTCTTGCCAAAGAAGGCTATATAGCTCATCCTGCTGTCTACCAAGTGCCTTTCCCAGCAAGGTGGTCAGGAATGGTAGTATCACAAAGGTTGGGGCAGGGTGAGGATGAGGTTCCTCTCCTCTTGAACTCAGGGCCAGGATGTTGTCCCTGAGCTTTTTTGTTGCTGTTGCTTTTTGTTTTTGTTTTGTTTTTGCTCAAAGTGAGCACTCTACCACTTGAACTACAGCTCCACTTCCAACCTTTTGGTGGTTAACTGGAGATAAGAGTCTCACAGACTTTCCTAACCAATCTGGCTTTGAACCACAAACCTTAGATCTTCGCTTCCTGAGTAGCTAGGATTATAGGCGTGAGCCACCGGCACCCAGTTGATTAATACTTCTTTAAACAATTAACTTGTCACCTATTTTCTTAAAATAACAAAATGGCCAGCCACCAGCAGTTCATGCCTGTCATCCCAGCTATACAGGTGAAAAGTTCACAAAAACCTATCTCAACAGAAAACAAGCTGGATGGGATGGTACATGTCTGGCATCCCAGCTACAGTGAAAAACAGAGATAGGAGGATTGTGGCCTTGGCTAATCTGGTCAGAAGTCAGACGCTATCTCAAAAATAACCAGAGTACAGAAAAAAAAGCAGAACGGAAAAGGATGGCGATATGGCTCAAGTGATGGAGCACCAACCTAGCAACCACAAAGTCCTGAATTCAATGTCAGTGCCAGCAAACAATCATGATATTGCTAAGAAGGGAAGCTTAGAGAAGGAGGAAGATGCGGGGTGGGAGAGAACTTTGGTGATGGAGCTGATGGGAACATAATTGCGAGATTGGTGCATTTCATGTGACGCAGTGCAGGAAGAGTGAATATGAATCTTTTCCCAGACCAGAGATACGCGGCTCCTCTTCTCCCTCTCTGCTGGGCAGTGTGTCACAGCTCCCAGAAAACCCAGGATCATGAGGAGAAACAACCACACACACCCTCAGGAGGTTGTGTGGCTAAATGAGGATGTGTGGTAGGCAGGGGGTTTCAATGCATTCTCAGCAGAATATTTTCCATTTTTCATTGGCTCCTCTGGAAATAACTTCATCATAAACTGGGGACATCTGATACTCATATCTGCAAAAGGTGAAACTAGTAAGATCTGAATGAACTCTGTGGCTTGTACTAATATCAACTCCCAAGTCTGGATATTGTATCTTTCTTCAAGGTGTCACCTAGGGTAAACTGGATAAAGAGGATTGAGTCACTGTATATTGGTTTGTAACTCTCTATAAATTTATAGTTTTCTCATAATGAACATTTCTAAGTGATTGAATCCATGTAAATTATATGCACAATTTGTTAAACAGTCCAAGTAAGCATAGGCAGACACATATTGTAGGTGACCTAATAGTATGTACTGTTTTGTTCTGATGTTAAATTTCCATACAAGGCCTACGCACAACTATCACTTTGCAAATAGAATTGTGCAGTGTTCAACCTGTGCAGTAATGCATAGGCAAGCCTGCCTTTAGCCATCTACTACAAAAGGAAAACCCCAGTCACTTTTTTTCCATTTCCATCATTCTAGTTGCATGATCTACTTGGTATTTCATACAACTCCACCTTTCAAACCAGTCTGGATTGAAATGACCACATCTGTGTATCAGTCTTGCCGTTTTGAATCCAGAGAATTCTCAAGTTTCTTGATCTGCAATTGCTCAAATTTCAGGCTTAAACATAGCCCTTATTTATCTCCTTCAGTGACCCTTTATTGAGCACTTACTATATAAATTCTAAAGATCAATTCCTGACTGCACATGTAATCCCTGCACTGAGGATGCTTGTACAGGAGGACCTTGGGGCTAGGTTGGGCTACATAATGAAACTCCGCCTGAATTTTTTTTTAAATGACAAAAACATAAAGGAAGAAAAGGCTGCTCTCTGTATTGTTGTAACTCTGACTGTGATGAACCATAAGTCATATATACAGTACATCCTTACATACATGGTCTCCAGACTCTCACAAGACCCTCCAATCTAAGGCTATTCAAGTCCCTCGTGTACATAGTATGCCATTGGCCTATTAGCTATGCACATCTTTCCAAATACTTTAAACCATCTTTAAATCATTAAACACTCATCATACATAAAACACCCTAAAGGCTGTATAAATGATGTCTCTACTGTATTGCTTAGGAGTTAATAACAAGGAAAATGTTTATATGTATATAGACACACATACAGTGCAGGTGTACATGCACTGTACATGTATAATACAGAGCCAGCCTTTTTTGTCCTGGGCATTTTCCATCCCAGGTTGGTTGACCCCATGGTCACACACATGCTGTTATGTGAGGTGTCACCCTCTCTGAGGGCCATTCTGCAAAGCCCTTTCTCCTGAGAAACTGCTCTTCAAGGGAGCTCATATCTAGGTTCTTAATAGTTGGCAAACCCAGCACATCCAGAGGGAAATCTACCTGAAACAAGACTCCACCCACTGCCCAGCATTTGCATCCTAATTTCTTTATGAAGTCAGCCCTCACCCTCAGCCGCTCTGGCCTTGTAATCATCAACCACTTCAGCACAAGGATATATGGCCATCCTGTGACTACGTGGTTCACACAGGCCCAGGCCAAGCCCAGTATAAACTCATTTAGGGGTGCAGATCTGGAGGCAGGCACGTCCTGGCCAGATGAGGAGGCAGTGGCAGGGGCAGCTCTGGGAAGAGGGCTGGGCAGGTGAGGCAGTGATTCATGGGGGCTCCCCTTTGTCAGGAGGGTGGGGCAGGAAAGGGAACCCACACCCAGCCCTGGCTCTTCCCAGATCCTCAACTCCCGCCCCCATTTCCCAGAAGGCCCAGGTGCAAAGGACACACAAAGCTTGTTTGGAGCTACATGTTACAACACAGCTAACAGAGGATCTCAGGTTTGGTGCTTTCCTTAGGCTTCTAAAAGGAGACTAACCGTGAATGTTTTTATAAACATTCAGAGTGTGAATAAAAGGAAGAGAGACAAGGTGACCTTCAGCCCCTGGATGTACTTTTCTATAACAATTTTCAACTCAACCCACACAACCGCCCCCCCCACACACACAAATATATACACATTCGCCTAGGATCTTCTATTCACTACCCATACTACCCACAAGCCCTACTCGCTAATACAGGAAAGAGACAGTGTGCCAGAAGGCCAAGGACTCAGCTTTTCCAGCTTAGAGAAGAATGAGAAAGAGACAGAGGCATAGAGTGAAGGGAGAGACAGAGACATAGAGAGACAGCAACAGAAACACAGCCAGAGACAGAGAGACAGGGAAATAAGCTGGCTGAGGAAGAGTTTGCTTAACTTAGCTGACCTAGCCTTGCAGGTAAAGAAAAACCTACCTAATCTAAAAGAGGAAAGAACTAAAGGTGAGACTTGTTTAGCAAGCATAAAGCCATGAGTTAAATCCCCAGTTCTGAAGGGAAAAAAAGCAAAAAAAAAAAAGAAAAGAAAGAAAGAAAAAAAGAAAAAGAAACAGAGAAGCCTCCTCTTACTTTAACTGTAAGACAAATTTATATCCTAGATAGATCACTTACTAATTGCAGTTTCCACAAATTCCTTTACCTACTATGTCTTCCTTCCTTTGTTTGTAAAATGGAGACAATGTCTCTGTACATCACCTCTATAATAACAACTAAAAATTAAAATGTTTTAAAAATGGCAGTGATGGCTATGATGATGATGGTGGTAGTGGTGGTGGTGATGTTGACGGTAGTAATAATGATGGTAGTGATGATGATGGTGATGTAATGATGATAGTAATCATGATGGCAATATTGATGATGATGATGCTATCCAACAGTCACCCAGTCTCTCTCAAAAGAACCTCTTGACTTCAGTGGGGGGAGGGGAGGACTTGGAGAGGTGGGGAAGGAAGGGATGGTAGAGGGAAAACAAAGGAGGAAGTAACAATGCTCGATAGGAAATATACTCAATACCTTATTCATGTAACTGTAACTCCTCTGTACAGTATTTTTACAATTAAAAAAAAAACATAA